TGAGGAAAAAAATGAACTTAAATGATTTTAGCATATGGCTGCAATATAACAAAGAGTGAAAAATTTAAGGGGGTCTGAAAACTTTCCGTACCCACTGTACATGTAAAACCCTTCCTGCATTCAAATCCTCTATCCTGGTAGCTTTGTGAAACCTGACCTAGATTGAAGAAAGGCCAAACTCCAAGAGCTTGGGGCTCCTCATCCGCTTGCCGGAGAGCAGCCTGTTCCGTTTCATTAGCCTATTCAAGGTGGTCATGAACAAAAAAAGACCGCACTGTGCCAGCCAGGAATTGGTCACAGGGCTGGATGCATTCCATTCTCAGTCTGGTCTGTGATCTTTAGAGAAAAAACCTATAAGGGATGAAACTTCTGCATATTGTGTCCTCATTTGAATCCATTCTGACACAAGTCAAAAACACATTAAAAGCTTTGTCACACTCACACTAAGAGAGATTTCAGGGGAAAAGAGTCAGTCAAGTAGAGGAACAAGTACTGTGCAAGTAACTTGAGCTGCCAGTTGTTGTGGGTGGGCTCAGCTCTCACTCTTCAGACTGAGGAGGGACTGGGACCATGATGTTTTTCTATTTAGTGATTACCCAGCCTAATGGGCATGGTGCACCCATGGGAACGGTAAACGCCTTTCTCACTAACATGGAGGATTCCCACTGAAAAAAAAACACTTGTAGTACCCCTCCAGATTTCCAGGCTGAGCAGGACTGCATGTCTTCCCCCAAAGTTTTATCCTTATAATACAATAAATGTATCTCCCCACTAAGCAGTGTCTTTAAACAAGGACACCAAGATGTTATATGAGAACAACAGCAAACCTAATTTTTCTCCTAAGTAGTGATCATTCTGTAGCAAAAAAATACTTGTTGGTCCTCACTTTATAGCAAGTACAAGAACACACACACACTACAGGTCTCTGTCTTCTCTGTTGCTGAACACAAACATCTGAAAATAACCCTGAATATGTCATACAGTGAATTTTCACAGCAGTAACTTAATGATCTGCTTCACATACCCTTACCCGGTGGGAACTTGATGTTAGTTCCACTTTGCTTTGCCACTGTATTTTTTCTTCTGTCTGTTTATGTGAGAGTTGGGCTGAGCGCTTCTCATGCACACTCACGCAGCCAAACAGAGGATGTTGACAGCAATACTATCACTGTAGAACAAAATCTGCCAGTAACAGCAGTGTATCAAACAGCTGTCAAACACGCTGAACACAAGCTTGCAGAAAAGTGACGTCTTTACCATTTTGCCCGAGGTCAACTAGCTGAAGTCCCTGTTTAACCTCTAAGTCAGAGTCATTTTCACAGTGTGCTTGTTATGCTAATACTGGAGATGTAACAATGCTGACAATTTACCAGTCATGGGCAACAGCTTTATTTGGCCAGTAAAGCTGATTCTTATTCTGAAATCAGGAGCATCCTTTCTCAAAGTGATTCTGAAAAACTGGCCCATGCATTTGCTAGTTCCAGGCTGGACTACTGTAACTCTTTACTATCAGGATGTCTCCCGTATTAGCTTCTCTCCACTGGCTCCAGGATAGAATTTTAAATCCTTCTCCTAACAGACAAATGCCATGTCCTGCTCCTGACTTCCTGTTAGAGACTTATGGTGAAAGGAACTTCCAGGTTATCATCTCATTCTCTTTAGCTTCACTTCTGCCAATCAGTGACTGATTCGGATCACCTGGCTAATTCCTCTCACCTGTTGCTTGTCGTCTCTGCCCTACATATACTGCTTTGTTTCCTTGCTCTAATGGCCAGATAGGCATCCGCACCATGCTATGTGTTCCAGCTGTCATCTGTCTGTGCACCTGCATTCTGTCAGCCTGAACCTCATTTCTGCACCTGTTGCCTGGCTCTTCACATGCACAACACAGTTCTTTCCAACCTTCATTCATCACCAGACCTGTATCTTGTCTGCACTATCTTGTCACCAAACCTGTTATTTCTGCCTGACTGAGACCTGCCTTCAGACCTGTACTCTGCCCACTGATTCTTGTCTGCCTAGTGCTTTCCACCAGCTGGACTGTATTGCTGTCAGGTTCTCTCCAGTTCATGTTACCTATTAGGGTCAGACGTCCTAATACCATGTAGTACATCTTAATCAGAATCAGCTTTATTGGCCAGGTGTGTTAAACACATGAAGGATTTGACTCCAGTACAGTGGTTCTCAATGCGTATGTACAATGTTCTTCTGTAAAGCAATGAGTAAACAAGATAAGACTGAGAGAACAAAATAGTTTGCAAGCATGTAAAAGCTGCTAAACCCCAGTGTATTTACATAGCATTTCACTCAGTAAAAGAAATTTCAGGTATATGTGGAATATATAACAAAATATGAGCAAAACTCCACCACTGCTACTAGCCCAAGTGTTACAGCTGCAGATTCATAACAGCATCTTTCTACCATTCACTGGTTGATGCTGCTGTAGCTGAACCACCTTCTGTGGGTGGTGGCTGAGTTTGACTGCTCTTGAAAAACATCCTTATATTACTACATGAAACACAGCACAGACAAGACAACCTGCCATGACGATGTTTAAGCTCACATGACATGATTAAGGATTACATTTCTAAATAATTTGTAATGTTATGTTCCTATTGAACATAATGACACTGAAATGTAGTGGAGTTGAGTAGACAGCATCTCAAATTTGTCCTTAAGTACAGTAGCCTTATTGAGGAAATTTTTGTAGTCAAAAAAACAAAACATCGCCATGAGAACACAGTGTTTTGCTCCCATGGTGTTTCTCACCGCTGGTGTTGTTATGATATGGTATCAGCTTTTTTTTGTGTGTGTGTGCTCAGAGTGCTTTCACAGAAAACCCACATGCACAAAGACACAGCTGCTCAAAGACACGGCTGCTCAAAGACAGCAACAGCTGGAGGACTTACCGCTGGAACAGTTGGTGCCACCCCAACCCGGCTCACACTGACAGGTGTTGGGGGCCGTACAATGTCCGTGAACGCAGCTCTCTGCACAATGAGCTGGACGTGGAGGAGACAAGAAGACAGGCCAGGCATCAGTACAGTCACAGAGACTTTAAAACTTTAAAAAATATATCTGCATAGGAATTAGTCATGTAGGGTTAAATAAAACTTTAAACTTATACTTTCCCTTTAACAGTGCTGTACAGTTAAGACATGGATCTGACTTCTGACTGAAGTCATGGTCATGCACTCTATTTGGACTGTTGTGAGACATGGCTTACTTGAGACATCCAAATTTGAAAAGTTATAAGTTCAGACCAAAATAAGAATGGCCGACCTTGTTTAAAAGTATGTCTAATCACTATCTTTGACAGTAAATGATACTCAAATTGTGGTACGGACTAATTTTCAGTCAGCTTTTTTTGTCCCCATGCACACAATAATTTTAAATTAGTCCGGTGTTCATTCTAATTTTAACTCTGGTTTGGTTTCCACCAAATCTTGGGAAAATATCTGGCCCTTTAGCTGCTAAAACTTTATCAGCCATCATCTAAAACTGAATTTATACTCCCTCCAAACTACAGTATATGTCAAATGTTTGGTTCAGAAACCCCGTCAGACCATTTCAGACAGCACTCTTTAAAACTTCTGAGAGATCATAAAGCAAGCCCCTCTGGCTGCTGCTTAGTGTTAGATGAGTAATGTAAGTAAATTGTGTTTATCAGTTTTTTCCTCAGAAAGCAGCTGCCTGTTGCTGCCTGGAAACCAGGCTGACGAGAGCACTGAGACTGAACCAAAACATTCAGTCTGTGGAACACAAAACTAACACAGGCTAAAAGAGGCTTAAGAGCTCTGTAGATCTGTGAGGAACTTAAGAGCTGGTGATAATTCTATGTGGGTTCATCACTACAAACACCCCCATTTCAAACTAAGTCTGCAGCAGGAGGAAGCTGGGTCATAAAACACAGGACTTTCCCACCAGAGAAAGGTGTTCCAGTGTGAAACATTCCCCAGCCTTAACCATAGGTTTATTATTGTAATTGTAAATGTATTATTGTATTACGTTCACCATAATAACAGCAGGCTGTGTGTTAGCATAATGCTTTATGTTACTGTCACTGATGAACAACAGTTGTTTTTGCCACTGGCCCCTCTGGCTTCACACCTGCTGAGATAAAGTGGTGGGGGGTACACAGTAGCCTCACTGACAAGCCACTGTAATAATAACACATGTTGTTTTATTAACTAGTGACAGTCATTCAGCTGAACCATGCTTCCCATTTTCTTCAGCATGTAGAAGTGGGATGTAATGGTACGTCGCTCCAAAATCTCCTGCAGAATCGATGTGTAGTGATGGTGAAAGCTAAAGCATAGGACTTACATAAAATTTCCTACACATCAAACCATTCAGTGACCTTTATGGTGCATTTGTTACTCTATATTATTCCACAGTTTATTTAAAAAAAAATTTGATGTTTACAAAAGTTCATAATAAGTGACAAGAAATTTTATGACTTGTATTTTTTCCCTTGCTGTATCGAAAGTGAATCGAAGCCCAACCTGGCCATGATTTGTGTGTCCCATTACACCCCTAGTGTAATGCTTATGTTTTTTTTACCATTGAACAAAAGAAAATTTAATTAAGTTTCCTAAAATGGTGTTTTTCATTAGTTAAATCAATGTGCAACTAAAGCTGCATTAACAAAAATTTTGCACAAATTTGGATAAATCAATTTAAAACCATGTCTAGAACTGTTTTCTCCTTGCTTTATCCTCAGGCCTTGTGTTTATTCCTTGCCTTCTGTGGCCACTGTTGTTAAAATCTGCACCACACCACTTCCACGCCCCCGCTGATGTCAAGTATGTGACATTGAATGCGATATGATAGAGGCCAGAACATTAGTACTGTATCAATATTACTGGGGAAAACATTCCTTTTTATAATGTGCTTGTGTTACTGCTTTAGGTAGGAAAAAGGATCGCTGCAATGCCACTGAAAACCATGGATTCTGTGGACTATATCAGAATCAGAATCAGCTTCATTGGCCAGGTGCATTGGACATGAGGAATTTGACTCCGGTCAAATGTCTCTCAATGTGTATGTACAATGCCCTTCCATAAGGCAATGAGTAGACAAGTCAACAAGATAGAACTGAGAGAACAAAAAAAGAAAAATAATGTGTAAACAAGAAAAAGGAATGTGCAGATAACTCACGAATGCAGATCTCTCCATTCTCATGGAAGCCTGGGCAGCACTGGGCCTTTCTTCGGTACATGGTTTTCTCTCCTCTACGGTATGCTGTTCGATAGCTCACTCTGTGCACAGACAGAAAGATGGGTCACACTCAGTTAAGGAAATGCTACACACTGCTGCCGCGCATCAGGTCTCAGTGATGCATCCCTCACCTGTGTCTGGTGCACTTGAACCAGTTGAGGATGTCGGTGCAGCTGGTATAATAAATCTGATCAAAAGGATGGGCGTACGTCTCCTGCACTGTCACTGAGTAGCTGAAACCACAGGAGAGAGAGAGATCAGTGTGTGGGTGTGTGTATGCCTGACATCCTACCACCCATATGTATTCAACTTTAAACAACATAGGCAGCATAGCAGGGAAATCTGCCTCCACCTTTTTTCTTTTACATTTCACTTAATGGACTTCCCTTCAATTCTGAAATCAGCCAAAAAGTAAAATTTACTTTTTAAACAACTGTGTCACTTATGTGTTACTGAAGATGATTTTTAGAAAATAAACAAGGTAGCAGCCTGTATGTTCTGTAGGTGTAATAACTAAGTTTTACAAAGGAGATTAATAAAATATAGGTAGGTACACCTGAGGTGTTCAGATCAGTCTCATAAAAATCTGTCTCATAAATTATCAGCCTAATAAATGATTAACAACAATTTTGGAATTTTAACTAATAATTAAAAGTAGCAAAATAAATGAAATTTTTTTTAAAATTATTAGCCTTTAGATTTAGTTGTAACTATTACAACCAGATTTATAGCACCAATTGAAAAACATTGCAGTGAAGGCATTTGGAGTGTTCTGATGGAAGAAGCTGGTAATATTTGAGCAAAAACAACAATAAACTTCATTTAAGAAATGTCTTCTTTTGTTCTCTGTCCATAGTTCTGCATAGAAAGGTGTTGTCTGTGATATGCAGTGCAGAAAGACAGAATTTAGTCTGTGCTTGGGGTTTATATGGGCAAAGTTACACCATATTGTGTTTCTCTATTTTCTGGTGAGTCTATGGGTGGATTAGGAAGTTAATATATGAAGGATTGTGGGAAAATGAGTCTATGTGGCTGGGATAATCCCTACATTTCACCCATGAACACTTTGTTTCTTGCCTGATTAATCTGTATACAAACAAATGCAAAAACAAACAAGACAACATGGTGATGTGTGAGCTGCAGAGGTAGGTGTATTTTTGCCCCCCTGTGATTTTTCACACATGGCTACTCTTAGTTTGAATGCATCACAACACACTGTCATTAGACTGATACTGAACTGTGGTCTTCTTCTGTTAGGTGAGGAGGTGGTTCTTGTATATTTGATCTGCTCCTGCATAATTAGTTACCATGGTGACTGGAATCAGTGGGAACATGAGAAATCTCTGTGGCACAGATCCGTGAGGTCAAAGGTCTCAAAAATGATCAGAGCAATGTGGCTCACCTCTCCCAGTAGCTGCAGACGTTGGGGTCCTCCAGGCTGAGGGAGGAAGTAATGCAAGGCAGGAAGCAAAAGGCTACAGCCAACATTACTGTCCTGTGGCAGTGCAGTGACATAGCCATCTCAATCAGAGCTTCACCTTTAGACAGAGAAGGATGAGGAAAAGACACAGGAACACACAGAAGCTGCTTAGATGGTACAGTGACATACAGTTAGATCACGAGAAAACACTGAACAATCTGTTGGTTTTGTTTAACTATAAAAACATGTTCTCAGTTGTAGAGTGATTTTGAGTCATGCTTGGTAAACAGTATACCTGCTAAACATCACCATGTTAAAAGCACAATTGTGAACTAATAGTGTGTTAATTAAGCCTCAAAGAACTCCTGGCATAGGCTCTTCATCTCAGGTCATTTTGAGATTCCAATGGAGGTCACCAGTCATTACTCTTAAAGTCAATCTTTCAAAACAAATCAATTCAAGTCTCAAATGATCGAATTCTGACTGGAGTCCAAGTCATGTGACTCCACACCTCAGGCTTGTGTGTGAGAACATTTGTAGTTTGTGTATTTTGGAATTTAGCTTTTCTGCGGTCTCAATTTGGCACTATTTTTATACCCTGATTTCCCTCATTGAAATCTTCTCTTTTAATTTTTTTTGCACAGTCTGAGCAGCATGAGAATTCTAGAAGAGCTGTAGGCTTCGCCATTTGCAGCTTACTTTCACCACACACACACACACCCATTCAATGGGAACGTTTCATTTCCAAAGTGGTGCCTTTAGTCTTAAAACATAAATGTTTGATTAAAATAAATCTGAGTCATATAATCAGCAGTATTCAGCACAGTTCTATCTTTACTAGTTGGCGTGGAACTAAAAACATGAGGATACACAGTATTTTGTTTACCACAATGACAGAACTCCAGTGAGAGACTGGTGATTCCACAGGGCTCTGGTGTTTAGGTACTTGAAAGAATCTTTTAATGACAAGGCAGACTTATATGACTCCTCTTCCCAAGGAGCAAGACTTCTGTAATTTGATAAAAAATAGAATTAATTTAATTTTATAACATAAACCACATTCATGATGCATTCATTAAACTAAAACCTATGATATATTAAAAACTGCTATGGCCATAGCCGCACTTTTTAATCAAACAGAAATATAGTTTTTGTATCATTAATACACACTTTCAGAATTTAGCCTGACAGAGTTGCTATCTTTGGAAACTTAAGGTTCTGTTGGTTTGAACATCACACTATTAGAGATAAACCTGCCAGTGCGTCCTACAGGCTCTACAGTTTTTTTGTAACTGACAAAACCACTCTGATCTACTGAGATGAAGAAAATCTCAGGCTGCAAAGAGGAACAATGCTCAGACAGTCACTGCTGTCTTCTTATGTTTGCTGTATTTATTCTGATCACAGTATGAAGTGTTCATACTTATAAAGGAAAAAACAGGTTAGATATAACCTACCATGAAAATATATGTGGCAATGCCGAAGTACAATCTCAGTGCAGTAAACTGAATAGCTACACCTGTGACAGCTGCAACAACGCAGTAACAACATCTATGGCTTTCAGTGAAGTCCAAATGCATGAACAAGGTTCTAAACTAACCTGTGGAGTTCCTGGTCTTAGCCCGGGTTTTGTATAATGCAACACAGCTTCACATGGTAAAGGACTGTTAGACATCAGCAACATAAGCATAAACGCAGTTGCATCACTGGGGAAAAACACCAGCATTAAACCTACATGCTACTACTAGGATGAAGATATATAGGAGAAAGACTGAATTTTGTCTCCTGTTAGTCAAGCTAAAAAGGTATCACCTCCCAGTCAGTATGGACAAGAGTAATGATAAAGTGACCAACCTTTCAACATACAGTATTTGAGATAGACTAGCCTACTCAGACATACCTTTTAAGTTTAATATTCAGAAATTAGCTAAAACAAAAATGCTGCAAATGTATATGCTGGCTCACTGTTGCTCACAGTGGTGTGTGTTTATACTGTACATCAAAAGGGTCAAACACCATCCACACCGTGAAGCATTATGTGAGAAAGATATTTCAACTGAAAACGTGCTAAAATATAATCCAAAATGTCAAATATAAAAGTTTAATCTTTGGCGGGATCTTTAGGATTTGTCATTGTGTCTACAGCAAATATGTCTAATCTTCTTCCTTAATGGCACAAATACAGCTGTTGCCTCCAGCACATTACTCCAGCTGTTCTATGATTCACGAAGTGACTGAAGAGCCCTCTATCTTGTGGCTAGCCAACGTTTGAAATCAGTTAACAGAGGAAGCCTAAAAGATGTCTCCAGTGGCTGTAGGGCTGCTGACACTGTGTCTGTGCAGGCAGTTTATGGGCCAGCAGGGCCAGTCCTCTCTGGTTTCACTGAGCTACAAGAGGGCACAGCTGCAGCCACCAAACAGAACCCCTTCCCACCTCAAGACAACTGCACCGCTGCACAAACAAGGGCCATGCTGTGTGTATGAAAGGTTGCTCCAGACACACAAACCGCTAATGGAGCAGATTAGACTTGGTAGCACAACTCTGATACATTGTTCAAGGCAGCACAGGGTTGACATCTCTTTGTGTGCTCATAAAGCAGAATGCCCAGAACCAAGACTTGATGTCTCAAGTCCCTCTAGGCCTAGATAAAGGCTGCACTCAAGCCATGGACCAAAGTCTAATAGCAGACACACAAGAGTTTTGGAGGCCCATTTTTCAAAATATGAAGCAATTCCAATACACTCAACAATTTAATATGTCACATAAGAAATATACACAATATGAACTTCAAACCCAGCGATTAGACATTGATCTTTAACCATTTTTGCTTAAAAATGAGTCTCATCTCTTTCTCCAGTTCCAGTCATTAATGGTTATAGAGGAAATGAAATTTCAATTACACAATCAGACATGTACCAAAACATTAATAGTTGTACTGGACCAATATGGTTTCAGAGACTCATCAAGACCTAACTCAAGAACACCATGTCCTGAAGTTCAATCGGTGCAGTGGCCATTCTCACACTACAGTCTGTAAGAAACATCTATGATTTTAAGGCAGAAGCAATTTATTACAGTACAATATAAGCTCTGACTATATTTACTGTGCAGATCACATTTTCTGTTTAGGTCTGTGCAGGTCAAACTCATACGATGTGCCATATGTTCCAAAATTTGTAAAAAAAAAAAAAAAAAAAAAAAAAAAAAAAAAAAAAAAAAAAAACATTTTTAAAAAGTGAAGTTTATAGTGAACATTGTTGTATCATAAATACATTTCGGGCATTTGTCACAAACCAAAGAACTGGAAAATTCCAGTAAATTCAGTCAGTGGGGCGATTCTCTTCATTGTTGATAAACCTCTTTCCTTCACAACACATAGCCTACACGCATTAGGAGACGCGAGATTGCCGTCCCAACATGGCGGCCACGTTGACGCATCGCCTTAATAAGACAGCAGCAGCTCATGCGGCACCTAGTGTTTTCACTTGTGCTTACAGAAGCTTATTCGTCTGATGACAAAATCTGCAAGTTTTTTTATACACTTTAACTAAACCCCTTAAGTAAATAATTTTAATGAAAGACGGGTAGTTAATTGTTATGCATTTACTGATCCTTGTTAGCCTAAAAGGCGACCAAAATTTGTTATTAGGCTATTAATCACATCCAATCTTTAATTAAATCATACAGGTTGGCTACCCTGGTTAACTTTCGAAGAGGAACATTACCTTATCTGTTAGAATAACGATTCTGCCTTAATGCATGGAGCCGTTCGTTGGTGCGGATGGTAATATGTCCAGTAATTAATAATGAAACACAGGCTAACTGCGCTGTCCTCTGCAAAGCCCACAGGACATTCAGCTGAAGAGTGCGCTGTTTATGGCAGCGTTCAGTCAGATGAGTGGAGTCTCCGCTAGCGTTTCAACACACTGACAAACTTTCCCCATTCTTGAAAGCTTCTTTGCGTCTCTAGCCTCCCCGCCCATCACGGCTACTTCGTCCTTCTTGTTTTATTTGGATGAAAACGGATGGCGCAGTCAGCCTACATAGGCTGTCGGATAGCCTGCGTTTATGACTAGGCAAACGAAAATATTCTAGTGATAATACATTCTGAGGAAGACGTTACAAGTCCGTGATAGGACAGATTGATTCTTTTTTAAATTCCTTTATTCACAAAACACTGCAGAACAATGCTCAGTTTCCATCATATTTTATCACATTGTGATGAAAGAACATGGGAGCTCTGTGTAAATTCAACTGAAACAGTGACCATATAGATAGAGGTTTAAAAATAAGAAAGAAGATTACATACAAATAAATGTGTTTATACTTAACATACTGTATACAAACACTTAATACAAACAATAAAACAAGTACAGTGGGTACGGAAAGTATTCAGACCCCCTTAAATTTTTCACTCTTTGTTATATTGCAGCCATATGCTAAAATCATTTAAGTTCATTTTTTTCCTCATTAATGTACACACAGCACCCCATATTGACAGAAAAACACAGAATTTGACATTTTTGCAGATTTATTAAAAAAGAAAAACTGAAATATCACATGGTCATAAGTATTCAGACCCTTTGCTCAGTATTTAGTAGAAGCACCCTTTTGAGCTAATACAGCCATGAGTCTTTTTGGGAATGATGCAACAAGTTTTTCACACCTGCATTTGGGGATCCTCTGCCATTCCTCCTTGCAGATCCTCTCCAGTTCTGTCAGGTTGGATGGTAAACGTTGGTGGACAGCCATTTTCAGGTCTCTCCAGAGATGCTCAATTGGGTTTAAGTCAGGGCTCTGGCTGGGCCATTCAAGAACAGTCACGGAGTTGTTGTGAGGCCACTCCTTCGTTATTTTAGCTGTGTGCTTAGGGTCATTGTCTTGTTGGAAGGTGAACCTTTGGTCCAGTCTGAGGTCCTGAGCACTCTGGAGAAGGTTTTCATCCAGGATATCCCTGTACTTGGCCGCATTCATCCTTCCCTCGATTGCAACCAGTCGTCCTGTCCCTGCAGCTGAAAAACACCCCCATAGCATGATGCTGCCACCACCATGCTTCACTGTTGGGACTGTATTGGACAGGTGATGAGCAGTGCCTGGTTTTCTCCACACATACCGCTTAGAATTAAGGCCAAAAAGTTCTATCTTTGTCTCATCAGACCAGAGAATCTTATTTCTCCCCATCTTGGAGTCCTTCAGGTGTTTCTTGCACTGAGGAGAGGCTTTCGTCGGGCCACTCTGCCATAAAGCCCCGACTGGTGGAGGGCTGCAGTGATGGTTGACTTTTTACAACTTTCTCCCATCTCCCGACTGCATCTCTGGAGCTCAGTCACAGTCATCTTTGGGTTCTTCTGTACCTCTCTCACCAAGGCTCTTCTCCCCCGAAAGCTCAGTTTGGCCGGACGGCCAGTTCTAGGAAGGGTTCTGGTCGTCCCAAACGTCTTCCATTTAAGGATTATGGAGGCCACTGTGCTCTTTGGAACCTTAAGTGCAGCAGAAATTTTTTTGTAACCTTGGCCAGATCTGTGCCTTGCCACAATTCTGTCTGAGCTCTTCAGGCAGTTCCTTTGACCTCATGATTCTCATTTGCTCTGACATGCACTGTGAGCTGTAGGGTCTTATGTAGACAGGTGTGTGGCTTTCCTAATCACGTCCAATCAGTATAATCAAACACAGTTGGACTCAAATGAAGGTGTAGAACCATCTCAGGGATGATCAGAAGAAATGGACAGCGCCTAAGTTAAATATATGAGTGTCACAGCAAAGGGTCTGAATACTTATGACCATGTGATATTTCAGTTTTTCTTTTTTAATAAATCTGCAAAAATGTCAAAAATTCTGTGTTTTTCTGTTAATATGGGGTGCTGTGTGTACATTAATGAGGAAAAAAATGAACTTAAATGATTTTAGCATATGGCTGCAATATAACAAAGAGTGAAAAATTTAAGGGGGTCTGAATACTTTCCGTACCAACTGTAACTAAGGCTTTGGTTCTGTCTCAGTTAAATTACTGTTCTGTAGTTTGGTCTGGCACTTCACTGGGTAATATTAATAAATTGTAATTGGTGGAGAATAAGGCAACAAGAGAAGCCAGTCCATCGCAGGGTCATCATAAGAACAATGAATCCAAATATTATTTACAATACGTTATCTTTCTGTACTGTTACACTTAATTATTTAACAAGACTGCTGTTGGGGGTGATTTTTACCAAAAGTTAAAACTACAGCAATTCAACATACAGTAAAATATTGTGTCCAGGAATTGAGGGATCTGCAGAAATCCTCTCTGCCGTCCTTTTGGCCGTGAGGTGTACAGGTCCTCCATACAAGGGAACTTGCCAAATCAACCGAAAAACAGACGCCCACTGACAGCCCGAAAGAGGCCCATGGCCAACCGTCACAGGCCTTAGACACCACAAAAAAGTGGGGGAAAGGAACAAAGAGCTATTATTTTGAACAGCTCTATAAGAATTCAAAGAGCCGCTATTCCCATCACTAATAGATACCAAAACAGTTTTTGTATCAGGCTGTAAACATGTTCATTTCCCCTGTAAAGTTGGGCATTTTAACACTGGAATCTGTGGTCCCTTTTGAACGCAGCCTCAAATGCTCATTCGAGAAACTGCAGGTTTTAATACTTCCGCTTTGGTTTCATAGTACACCTCAGTGATGAACAGTGAGGTAGCAAGCACTTCTCTTTCACTGCAGGAAGGTTTTGCATGTACAACCTTACCATGTGTCCTGTTGAAACATTCAAAGCATGAGTAAAAAATAATACAAATAACTGGATGTTGAATGTATTTTAATTTTTTACTCTTATAATTACAATTAATGACAGGATCCCCATACACTGCATTCTCGCTTTTAATTACATTTGCTGTAACGTTTCACACATTTTAGCAACAAAGACAGGAGTATCAAGTTGCTCAGGTGGGTTGTATTTTGTGCACGGACGATCGGATTTACTATTTTTCTCGTGGAACCTAAAAGCAGCATCGCTGGTGACGTACGTTAATAAAAAGAAACATGGCGTCGGGACAGCAATGGGTGTTGGTGGAAATGGTGCAAGCGTTTTATGAGGCAAGTTTTTTTCTCTCAGAGTAATTTTTCTGATAATTACAGTTAGAGTGTATGTAACAGTTCCTCTAGCTACACGTTGATGTCCAAGGTTCATGGTTGTATACTACAGTCAGGAAGTGTCCGTGGAACGGGAAGATGAGCGGAGCATGGAGTTAGCAGTCTCTTGTAGCCAATCGCCAGTAAGCTGATTCCTGCGGTGTTACTGTCGGTGTAAAACCAGTCAAGAGGCCAACAGAGATGTGGGCTGACTCTGGCAATCCGTAGCACCAGCTTTGTGACTCTCAAACATATATGAGGATCACGGACCTAAGCCCCCGTGAGCGTTCGAAACTCAAACTTGTCGAATGTTGTAACTCCGTACCGTCGTTTTTTAACACTCACCCAAAATCTGGGGGTATTTCATGATTCCTCGTTAACTATGCTAACGATGCGGAATTTAAAAACCGTCCGGTCCAGTAAAAATATAAATTGTCACTTTTTTGAAGCATAGAGTTGGCTTTGCCGAAAAGTTAAGATGGCCACGGGAAATAACGTCGCTCTGTCGTAGAAGCCGGAGGTCGAGAACAGCGCCACCAGCGGTCAGGAGCTACTTAACAAGTACACAGTCTGACGCGCTCTGCTTTACTATAGTATTTGTGAGTGGTTTAGCGTCTTTTTGAAGGAAACAATGAGCGTGATGATTATTTCGGCTGCTTAAAATTATAGTTAATAGCTATAAAGAAATATTAAAATGACTGTTTTTAAAATCCTCCTTTGTCATAAGAAACAGTTGTCACATCCACAGTAGTCCAGAAATTATAGTTGTATGTTATTTGCCTTCATTTTAGAATTATCTTAAAAAATGTCACGTACAAATGATGACATCAGTAAACAGGCTTTACGTTTTTACCAAGTCAGGGCTTTTTTGGCTTTGGTGGAATGGGAAAGCTTAAATATTTGGGTATAATTTTAACAATATCAGTTTTGGAGTATTCATGGAAGAGGTACTTTCTTCTAATGGGGCCAGGAAAATATTCCACAGTAAGAGCATCTCTAATGATTGTATTATTACATCTTATATCAATGAGTTTGTACTTAGAAATTGTGATATTTTGTAATACAGGAACTGGAATAAACTGACAATGATCCTTCTATCAAATGAAGAAAGGGAGATTATTATTATTATCATCATTAACCTTTCTGGTACAACTGGGCCCAACAAATTCCTCAAATTTTAAGTATTCCCCTGCCTAGTTACCAAATATAAGATAGACCAAATACCATCCAGGTTTTGATAAAGATAGATTCACATTTCATAAGAATCTATCTGTAATAGGCACACTGTGTGGGCTGACGTTGTGCTTGTAAAGTAAGTGTCCATTATAGTAAGAAACACTGACTTGGTCAGCAATTAAAAGATTGGATTTTATTCATAGGCATGCGTCCTGAATGTTTTAGTGGAATCATTGCTCTGGTGTAATTACAAAATTGACAGGATTAAACAGACACTCTTGAATCCACACCCATTCAGCAGTCTTAACACCAAAATGTTCTCCATGTTCTCATCTTCCTCAGGCTCCTGCTTATCACTTGATTTTGGAGGGGATCCTCATTCTGTGGATCATCAGACTAGTCTTCTCTAAGACCTACAAACTTCATGAGACTTCTAAACTGACAGAAAAGGTAAACTGGAAACAGTGCAATGGCACATAAACAACAGCGTATGTGCGTAAATGTCACCAAACAGCTGTTATGTTGTTCCACATTACAGGAAAAGGAGGACCTGATTGAGGAGTGGCAGCCAGAGCCTCTTGTTTCCAAAGACCATCCTTCCCTCAGCTATGATGTTGTCACAGGGTAAAAACCACAGGAGAAATTTCTGCTTTAGAATCAGAAACAAAATCGTCTTGAATTGCCAAGTATGTTTGAACATACAGGAATTTGACTCCAGTACAGAGGCTCTCAATTTGTTGTAAAGTAATGAGAATAAAAATGAAAAAGTAGAGCAACTTACTTACTGCTTTTAGTATAGGCAGACTCTAAGTGTTCACAAGGGTCCGTCAAAGTTTTCTCACAGGTGTCTAATAGAAGTAATGGTCAGTGTGATTCATTTACAGTCTTTCCATTACTTAGTTTGCCACCAGAGAGCACTTAATTTTTACACTATAAAATGTCCTGCTCACTACATATCTAGATTGCAAATCTTGAAATAACAAATGTTAAGGAATCTATAAGAAAACTGATACTGACCTCAAAAGAACCTAATTTGTTTTGTTCTCTCGCTCTTGCATAGCTTCTTGCCAGCTATTAAAAATCATCTTATTCCATTCTGACTCCTTGCTTTTATTATCTGTCACCACTATTAACCATTCCTGCATGCCATATCACAACAATACATGAGTTTTTTTGTTTGTTTGTTGTTTTTTTTTGGTCAAAGTACACTCTGGAAAGTAAGAAAAAAGGCCAGTAAATTGCATGCAGCAAAATAACTGAATGTTTTGTAACTTGAACTTTCTAAACTGTTTGACTGTAAACATCTAAACACAATGTTTTCATTTACAGACCTCCCAGCCACAAAATTATAATTAATGGAAAAGAGTGCATTAACTTTGCATCATTTAACTTCCTGGGTCTCCTCGACAATGAGCGGGTTAAGGTCAGTGTGTAATATTTGAAGCCATCATTCATTGTTGTCGTTAGATTTTTTTTTTTCTTGATTCAAGTGAGGAAAATTAATCACAGTTTGACTGGAACCTCAAATGTTCCCTTTTCCTCCTCATTACAGCAAAAGGCTTTGGCATCACTGAAAAAATATGGCGTGGGAACTTGTGGTCCCAGAGGCTTCTACGGAACTTTTGGTGAGTAAAAATATTCTTCTCTGCTTTGTTTTCTATTAACTTTCTACCAACTAGGTAATTCAGTAAACTGTAGAAAACAGGCAGTTATGTGTACAGATGCAGCCACCTTAAACTGCTGGCTGGACCACAACAGAACTTGCGTGATCTGTGACTGATCCCTATCCGGCCCCGGCTGTGTAAATGAGGATGCTGCATGTCACACAGGTTGTTCAGACAAAAGGGTGAATTGACAAAATGACAGTTGTTCTAATATCCACAGAGTCACAGTGTAATAACGATGGACAGTGGGCTACTGATTTTATTCAGAGCTGAGGAAGAGTCAACACCGTGTAACACACTGCCAGTATTTAAATGAGATGAAAGATCGCTGTTTACCCTAATAACTGATTGATTATAAAAGCCATCATGTTAGTAAAGAGAGGGCTAACAAACTGTTGGGCTACTATCTAACTGGAAGTTTGATCCTCTTCCAGTGGAAACTTCTGAAGATTATGATTCAGAACTGTCCATGTGGTGGTACATTTTTGCAAAGCAGCAAAAACTGTTGTGTTGACACGTTTAATCAGCCATGTACAAAACAGCGCTGATGTGTGGCTACGTGCAATACCCTGGGGAGACGCAGGATGTTTGTGGTTGTAGAGGCCTGTGTGTGCACCTCTGCATCTGGCATAAGTGTGGCCTGAGTTGGTTTTGACACAAATGCAGTTTCAGTCCAAGATGTGCACCAAAATTGCACTGACCTGCCAAATCAGCATAAACAATGGTGTGAGCAGTGCTGGACTGTCAGAAGCTGGAGCGCACAGCCTAAAGACGTAGCAACCACTTTATCTCTGCTTGCTGCTTTTGTTGGGATCAAGCCGTCATAAAGTGCAAACGCAGTCACGATATGCACCCCTGTGGATGTCAAACGTCAGTGTTTGAGGAAATTATAACAGGATAGAGAATGACAGCAGCGCACAGACTGTGCAGTGTTCTGACTGACTATATCCTCAAACGCTGGTTTAATTTTGCCTTGGAAGGAGCCAGTATATTCTCTGCCACCCTGAATAAGTTCTATCATATTAAATGCAAATGATCTACTTTCTTGTTTTCCTCCCCCAGATGTTCACCTGGAGCTGGAAACCCATCTGGCCAAATTCATGAAAACGGAAGAGGCTATCATCTATTCGTATGGCTTTGCAACGATTGCTAGTGCAATCCCTGCCTACTCTAAGAGGGGGGACATCATCTTTGTGTAAATACGCCTCTGATAATGTGTATAGAGCAATATAAAACCAGTATTCAGGAGTCATGTTTTAAAAAAAAAAAAAAAAAAAAAAAAAAAGAAAACACTCTATACATCAGTCAACTTAGTTTCTCACAGGTTCAGCATAGAAAAAATGGATGGATGGGATTTTTAGTTTTTCGCTGTTTTTCGCTTGTGTGTTCAGGGATGAAGCAGCCTGCTTCTCCATCCAGAAAGGCCTTCAAGCATCCCGCAGCCTCATCAAATACTTCAAACACAATGACATGGAGGATCTGGAGAGGCTCCTCAAAGAGCAGGAACTGGAGGACCACAAGGTTAGTACAGGTACAGGGTTGTTTAGTTTGAGAAATGGGGTGGGTGTCCTGTACCTTCATGCTTGTAATTGAAGCTCAGAGTGTTTGAAATGCAAATAGCTTTTTTGGACATCTAGTTTTTACTCTGGTTATTGATTAAACAATAAATGCCATATGTATTATTGTCATTCTTCTCACATAGTAACTGTTTCTTTTAAAGAATCCTCGGAAAGCTCGAGTGACTCGTAAGTTCATTGTAGTGGAGGGGTTGTACATCAACACGGCAGACATTTGTCCTCTCCCTAAACTGGTAAGAAAACTAGTGGGCCTCAAATACTGCAAAAATACCCCCAAGTAAACCTAATTCATAAACTGGCCAGGCTTAAAACTGAGAGCCTTTCTGGAGTGAACATTCAAGACAAAACATGTACCCCACATAGATCCCAGGGTCTTAATGCCTGAACTGCCACTGCATTACTCATAATCATGAAAGATGTGTGTAATATGGCTTGATGACTGCAGGGCTGTTATATTTCTAGGTCTCTCTCTACTGTTGCCTGTCTTTTGTTTGTGTAACCTCCAGGTGAAGCTGAAGTACAAGTACAAGGTGCGGATCTTTTTGGAGGAGAGCATGTCTTTTGGTGTGTTGGGAGAACATGGCAGAGGAGTCACCGAACACTTTGGCATCAATGTGAGTACACTGAGCTTTAAATAAAGAAATATTGGTCATTTGCACTGTTAAAGGGCAAGCATCTGATTTAAAATGTTCTGGCATTGAGATAATGCACAATTAGTCTCTCAAATCTGAAAACAGTTTGTGTATAATAGTGTGAACTGTACGTCAATGTGTCTCATGTGAAATAAGCAGAAAGATTGTGGAAAAAGAGAACTTCTTTTGTACCCTCAACAGTCTTATAAGAACCTATCAATATAGTGTAAAACAAAATTGGAACATATTTTCCATCTGATTGCCTCCTGTAATCATAGGATTTTATCTCTCAACTGACTCATTGATGAGTCTCTTCCCATCTACTTTCCCTGACGTCACCACAGCAAAATCTTGACTTGATCGCTAAAATAAAGAAATAAGCTACAAATTTCTCCCCATCATCTGAAATCTACAGTAGATCTCTTCTGAGCCCCTTCCTTTGTTCATTTCTATTTGTCAACCTTGACAATACAGTCATTTCCATGAAATGCTCTCTAGATTTCCTGTCCACATTGTTTTAAAAATCTGTTTTACACACCACAATATTCTTTCCATTATCGGCTGTTCTCACCAGTACGGGCCTGCCTCATTGTAAGCATTCAGTTGCTCAGCTTTTGCTGAAAAGATCGCAATCGGTCCATTGTTTTCAAATAATTTTAGGCTTGTTTCAAAGCTTTCGTTTTCTATTTTATATTTATACTTTAGGAAAAAAATGTAAATTTCTTTTGTGAACAACAGTAGCATTTTAGAAAATTGTTTTCTTCTAGCATTGTGATAGTCATTCTGTTTAAACGGGGAGGACTGTTTTTGTGGTGCCCCCCAGGGGTCAAATTAAGGACCCTCTTTTATTTTTCATTTACATGTTTCCACTTGGCCACATTTTTATAAACTGTTTTGTACACTAATGATATATACAGACATCCCATCTGCCCTGTAGAGAATGGTCGAATAAATGCCAAGGTGCATTGAAACTGTTCTGGTGACATGTGATGGCCCAACACCTACTAAGACACTTTATGCTGGCCTTTCCTTTAATTTGTCAACCATCTACAGTATGCTCCTTGTAAACCTGGTGATACTGCAAATATAGCCCAACTCAGTTGTCTTTCTAACCTCAAAACCTGGGTGGAACAGAACTTTAACTAAATGAATCTAAAATTTGAAACGCTTTTATTTGGTCCGTCTTCTCTGACAGCTCCTTAGGAGTGCGCTCATAATCTAGGAATTACATTTGACTGAAACCAAACATTGAGTAAGTATTCAGAGTGGTACAATCATGCTTCTTTAAGCTGAGGACACTATCTAAAAGTAATTTTTTGCAGCTGCAGATCTTAAGAAAGTAATCCAAGCCTTTAATTCCTCTTACATGGACTATTGTAATTCTGTTTATTCTGTCCTCAGCCACAATGATGTTGATTGCGCTTTATATAAGAAAAATGCTGCTTTTAAACTTTCGGAACTCTGATCGCATCTCCCCCATTCTTGCATCTTTGCACTGGCTCCCTGTAAGATTTTAGAACTGATTTTAGGATTTTTCTTATTTTGTGTGGTCAGGCCTGTAATTATATTGTATGTTAATCCCTTGTGAACCACAGCACAGCCTTAGGCTGGGGTGTAGTTGTCCCAGCCAGTCACTTTGTTACCTGAGCAGACTGGAAATTATTTCTTAAAACTCATTTTTATTGGATAGCTTTTTACAAAATGTATTCTTGTGCTCCTTTTTCGTCTTGTTTTATTGTTATTTCTGTGCTGTACTGTAATTCTGCTTGTAATCCGATTAAATTTAGCATTCTACATTTATATAGAATGTGGTATTAGTTGCCGTTTCTGCTCCATGCAGATAGAGGACATTGACCTAATCAGTGCTAACATGGAGAACGCTGTAGCCTCCATCGGAGGCTTCTGCTGCGGACGCTCCTTTGTCATCGACCACCAGGTAAGTACAAAACATTCTGATACGTTTTGAATAAGTGACTGTAAATATCGATTATTCTCACCTCATGGATCTCTCCATAGTATGCAAATCACACTCTCATTAGCCCCGCCCCTCAAAGCCCTCCCTTCCACACCAAAAACAGTATCTGTGACAGAAAGCAGAAACTGATATCCACTGATGCTGAATAAAAACTTACAGACAAAACTTAAAGTAATTGTTCTATATCCGTTTTGGAGCCACATGTACCAAATTCTAGTATGTTGTCTTCTCACTGGGACCGGTATGCTATGACTTTTGATAAGGCTGTGTATGAAAGGACTTAAGATGTAAGTATCTTTTTTTTGTGTGTTCTGTAGCGTCTGTCGGGTCAGGGCTACTGTTTCTCTGCTTCCCTGCCTCCCATGTTGGCTGCTGCTGCTATCGAGGCCCTCAGTATCATGGAGGAAGATCCAGGTATAGACTCTACTGCTTTCACCCTTATGCACCGTTCAATTTTTGGTACATTTATTTGGCTGTAGAGATAAGCTGCTATTGAAAGGGGGCTTTCCATTTCTAATTCCCACTGATCAGAAATATATTTTAGAAAGATGCCTCTCTGTGTTCAGATCTGTTCCCACACATCTCTCAAACTTCATGTTTTTCAGATATTTTCACTGTCCTAAGGGAAAAGTGCAAACATGTTTACAAGGCTTTGGAAGGGTAAGCTTATCTGTACTTTTTTTATACACAGTCACTGGGTTGAAGAAAGCAGAACAGAAATGTAAAAATAAAACTCCAGTACATAAGATGTTTAGTGAAGATATTAAACAGTAGTCAGCAGTGCAGGGTGGTGACAGTGGTGTGGTGGGTAGAGCAGTCATCTCCCAACCAGAAGGTTGAAGGTTTGAATCTCGGTGCCTGCAGTCCACATGTTGAAGTGTCCTTGGGCAAGCCACTGAACCAGAGGTGTATCAGAGGAAACATGACTGTCCACGCCGTATCCAGGCCGGCAGATGGCGTGACCACAAACAAGGATACATAGCATTTAACACTCAAATGATCTTCATTTCACATCATTTAAGTTTTCATCTTGCTTTCCCTGGTATGTCCATGTTATATTATGTAATGAATTTTATATTTTCTTGATTATTCATGTATGACAGTACACCAGGTCTGAAGTTAGTAGGAGTACCGTTTGCCCCAGCTCTTCACTTGCAGCTGGAGAGAAGTTTAGGCTCCAGAGACGCTGACATGCAGCTGCTTCGCACCATTGTAGACCATGTAAGTCCTCTTTGTTTTGCTGATTACGGTACATTAAACCCACGCACCGGATGATATTTTAAGTGTTTTCCTAGTCCCAGACTTTTATTTTGTTATTTTGAGGAGGTGTTAGAGTCCAGACGAGGCTACAGTATGGTACAATATCAAGATGAAAGTCCTTTGCTAATTTTTGAGTCCTCTTAACAATTTTAGCTTTGTCACATATTAATGCCATTAAAGTTACAATTGAAGACACAAACAGGAGAATCATTAGTGTTTTGTATTTTTTAATCTTTACCATTTTATGCTCAGCATTATTTCCTTTGTTTTTGAACATACATGCGCTGTACATAAGTTCTCCTACAACTACAGATCAAACCATGAAATATAATTTAATGTTACATAGCACTGATGGTTATTTAGGCCTCATAGTAGTTTTCATCTTTTCTGTGTCAGTGTCTGGAGAGACGCGTGGCTCTGACCCTTGCTCGTTACCTGGAAAAAGATGAGCGCTTCCTCCCCCCACCCAGGTAAGAGGCTCCACCTTGTTGTACAGTTGATTCAGTGTATCAGAATGTGTAATGGCAGTGTTTCCATGGGAAACATTTCTCCGTGGCAGCCTGCAGTGCCAAAATCTTTTCTGCCATGGCAAAATAAAATCAGTCCAACCAATCATTTAACCAAACACATGAGCAACTCATCCAGTAAGTCCATAAAACAGCACAGCGAGTCATATTCATAGATGCAGTTAAGATCAGTTCACCCTGAGTGTGTTTTAGACCCGTTTGTCACTCAGCAGATAGCACTCTGTTCTATCAGATGTGTCTCCAACACAAGCATGAGCTGCTTCACCCCTGGACCTGGTGGATTTTGTTTGTTTTTGCTTCAGGTCTCTTTCCTCGGGTGCATTTAGTGAAGAGTACTCTCTACAGACAGCTGTTTAAATCACACAAATCCTCGGTTATTTTCTATTACAAAGAGTTAAGGGTCTCTTCAAATGTAACTCAGCTTTTTGGTTGCACCTTTCCTTGCCCTCTGTAGCGAGTTGGGAAAAATTAATACAATCAGTGAATTAATGCATCCATAAAAACACTGATTTTTTTTCAAGATAACCTTTCATAAAAACTTCTTTTGTGCAGTACATTTCTGCTGTCAGCCAGCCTCGTGAAGACCCATTTGTCCAGCTGCTGTCCTTCATCAGAAGCTGCTGACAGACAGGCGTTCTGACACTCAACACACCGCTGTCCTCTGTTGAGTGATGCACAGGAAACTGGAAAATTGTGAAGGACATCATTTAGAGCAACCACTAAAAAAAACCTCGGATTATACCTGTACTGAAAAATAGCAAGCCCATATTAATCGGTAAAACCATTATACAGAGGGAACATGGATTAGGGATGGAAGAAAGAGCTCAAAGAGAGGAGGTAAAATGTTCAGGCTAGGGGAGCAGGAGAGGAGAGGGCAGAGAGAAGGAGAGAGACAAAAAATGTAGTGGAAGTGGAAGGAGAGGAGATGAGTTCTGCATCATAGGATGACCCTCAGCCTAGGCTTATAACTAAGGGATGGTTCACCAAACCAAACTTATCCTAGATTGCATGTCTGTCAGAAAGCTGGAGATCCACTGACCGGTGGGGGCAGGCACAGTGAGCTGGGTCAGTTTAGAGTGGAGGATGTCCAGGATGATGGTGTTGAACGCTGACCTGAAGTCCACAAAGAGGGCCCGTGCTTGGGTCCCTGGGAAGTCGAGGTGTTGCAGGATGTCATGCGGCATCGTCCACTGACCTGTTTGCCATCCATCCATCCATTTTCCTCTGCTTATCCGGAACCGGGTCGCGGGGGCAGCAGTCTAAGCAAAGATGCCCAGACTTCCCTCTCTCCAGACAC